GAGAATTTGAAGAACAGTTCTCCCGAGACGACCAACGAAGCTGAATCACTACGATATGCAATTTCTCGCGGGAGATTCAGTCATGAATGAGGACAGAATGGCTGTGAAGTGGTTCGAATGCCTCAGTAGTATATACTGGAGCAGAACACTGGCATTTTTTTTCTTCCCGTAATTTACCAGCTAGACTAGGTTTAAAGTTTCCTCAACGCCTCCTGTTTAAACAACGACAATACCGTTAAGCACCGTCTGGTGCGAAGGAGGTTTCCTCCACACCTCCAAGCACCGCAATTAACAACACAAGGAATACATGCAAAAAGAAGTTTCTGTACGTTTCACCATTGGTTAAAAGTCTGACACGCCTTCGACCTGCTTAAATACAATGGAATTTTTCTCTCTTCTTCCTCGTTCTGAAGTATTGTGCGTTCTACTCTAATTTTCCATGACCGGTTCATTAACCCTAATATTTTTTGTCCTAAAAAAAGGACCAAACGTCGCTTAAGTACGATGGAGTTTGGCCGATTTTGGCATACAGGACAAAACCTAACTTGAAGTTTGTATGGAGGCTCTTCGATACTGCTTAATAATTGCAATATGTCATATATAACAGCTATTCATGTCAAACAGAGGGACTTCCAAGGTGAAGTGCCACATAATAGAGACTTTTCGCAATAGTCTTTGTCGCTACTTTGCCCGCACAAAACATTGGGCAAAGATAATGTGCAGCATCCACATTACGAGCTTTCGCAGGATTCAATATCTTCAGACCAAAACCCTCCCAAATCTGTTCACTACCAATCACTTTTCATCCCGCATGGAGCTGCTCCTCCTGCTCCACGAACTCCTCGGCGACGCAGTTACGGCTGCGGAGGCAGCTCTGTTACTCAGCTTCGAACAGCCTGAGCGTCCGATCATCCAAGATGTCAGGTTTTGCGTCACAACTCTATCGGGCGAGGACTGTAGGCAGCAGTTTCGCTTTGATGTGGCCGGCGTCATCCGCCTAACGGAGCTCTTCGCTCTTCCGGAGTTCGTGATCACGGGTTCGCGCGATAAGGCCCACGCCACTGAGGCAGTGTGCATCTTGCTCCATCGCTTGAGCTACCCCAAGCGCCATTACGACATGATTCACAGATTTGGGCGCTCCACAAGCGCCCTGTGCCGTATTTTCATGCACGTCGGTACGTGGTGAGCAAGGATGGATGAGTGGTGTTGGTTGTGTGAACCACACGTGTTTGGTGGAGAAAGCTGTCTCCACAATCGCCATTTCTGTGGACTCCAATCCTCACTGCTGGCCCCACTGGACCGTCTCTCGACTGTTTTTTTGGCTTTGTGGGGATAATGTGCGGGTGGAGTGACTTGCGAAAAGTCTCTAATGAACCCAAGCTTACTTGAGGCTTTTGTCCTGGAATCCAGGACAAAACTCACATATGCGTTGTTACTAGTGGCAAACTTCGTAATACATTCTCGCCCTTCAGGACAACAGTAGACACTACGAAAACTATACCACGTACAGAACCCTTTAGTAGTATATGACCATGGCAGTAATGCTACATTACTCTCGACCAAGCCAAGGCTCTAACTTTTGGTCCTCTTTTTGTCCTTAATTTTCGAGGAGTTGAGGTTAACCATTGCAAGTATAACTATCGACGAATCGTCGAAACTGTGATACATCGTAATTGTCTATACTAGTAAGAGCATTTTCACCGGCTGTGTGTAAAACTAAACGCAATTTGCCCACAAATCCATGCTCACAAAGCGCCGGAGATGTAAAAGTCAGTGCAGTGCTCCACCGACCATTTGAGTAAAACTGAAACAAAAGCACATCCACGATAATCTCTCCCATGGAAGCTGGCAGCAGTGCACTGAAGATCTTTGACCAGTTCGACGGACAAGACGACGAGGAACGCCTACTTCTCCTAGCTGCCTACTCTGCTCGCGCCCCATAGACTCTGTTTCCTAACTCCGAGGCTTTCACAAGGCGTCAGCCTAACGTTGACCGCGGTGCTGAAGAAGCCCACGTCCGACTAATACGAGACTATTTTGCCGATGACAGTGTTTACAGTAACCGCACCTTACGTAGGTGCTATCGGCTGAGGCGGCCTCTTTTTTCTGAGAGTTATGAACGCTGTCAAATAACAGGACATCTACTTTCAGCAGCGACCAGATGCAACGGGGAAGATGGGTTTACCAACACTGCAGAAGCCAAGCCGCTCCTAAGTTTAAATCCTCATCAGGTTCCCCTTTTGCTTGGTAGTGGTAGGGGTCCCTAGCGCTCGTCTAGTGTGCAACTGTCGCTTCCTTCTGTAAGCTCCTCATTTTCTGGACTTGTCAATGTCTCGGAGTTTTGATCTTGCGGCCCGGTCGTGTTGTTTGCCCCATCTTGTGTAGCGAGGGGTAGTTGACTTAGCAGTTCCGATGGCAGCGGTGGTGTTGGAGGGCGGAAAATAGCTTTCCATGTGCCATCGCCAGCAGAATGTCATCTTTTCGAGGAATGGGATTGGCTGGCACTCTGATCTTGGAGTTTAGACCGCGAAAATTGTGCACTATTCTCCACTCGCCGTTGCTTTTGCGGACACAGAAAGTAGGTGCGCAATACGGCGAGGAGGACGGTCGGACGATGCCTGCCTTGAGCATGTCCTGGAGCCAGGACTGAATCGCTGCCTTCTGCTCGGGGGATAGTGGAAACTGCTTGCGGTGTACTGGGGCCGCGTCAGCCACCTCGATTGTTGCATCCATGCCTCCTTGACGAGAAGGAGGCACATCTGGCAGTTCAGAGCGGAAGCCCGTGTCCCGAAACTGACTGACGAGTGGGTATACTGACGAACCCTCGAGTGAACGCCAAGCCGCCTCTGCTTTGTCGTCTCCGCCGGTTGGCGCAATGAAGAAACACTACTCGTAATCCTTGGCCTGCAGCAATTTCTTGATACCTTGAACAGTTATGCATCGCGTGACACCTTGTTGTCCACAATGTCCATGTTGTACGTAATAGTGTTGGAGTGCAGACTCTTCATCAAAGTGAGATGTCGATCGGTACTGAGGTGTTCGACGACCAGAGACACATCGAACCTTCTGCCGAAGCACACACGGCCTGAACGGGAGAGCTCCGGGTGGTTGAACGTTACAGTCTCTTGCTCGAGGCCTAATTGATCGTTTCGCCCAATCAACCAGAGGGTTGAGATCCACTAGTCAGGGCATGCCAAGCATGATGTCTTGTGATTCTGGTACCTCCATGTCGAACGCCGTAGAGTGATACTCTGGAAACCTGGGTAAAGTCATGAAAATTGAACAGGTTCTTCTCGCGATGAATGAAACGCGTCCGGCTCCTAATTTTAGCTTCAGTGGATGCCCATGCCGCCCGATAGGAAGGTTGAGGCGCGAGGCCAGTTTAGGCGTGACAGCGTTAAATGAAGCTCCAGAATCCAAAAATGCAGAGACAGCAGCACCGTTAACGGTAGCTGACTGCTCTAAATAACCATACATAGATTTTTTCTGAGAACTCAGCACTGCATCATGACACTCATAGGCGATTGCGTGCTGAGTATCAGTGGCTGGCTTCTGAACTGCCGTATGGTCCTCGACAGCAGAGCCTTTCTCGGTGGGTCGCCGGCCCACCGAGACGCTTAGTTTTTTGGCGCGCCAGAGCCCTTGGTCGGGCACTCTGGCAACTTGTGGCCCATGACGCCTACGTGAAGCACTTCGGCTCCTGCGCTGTTGCCGCAGCTGGCGTCAGACCTCGACCAAGTGATGAAGGCGCCTTAACGGCCGGACCGGACCCAGAACCGCGTCCACGACCCTGTGTGTGCCGTCCGTCTTGGCGGCCTTGCGCATTCGACGGCGTGGCTCCAAACGGTTGGCGCGACCGGGTCGACTTGCGCGCATCCTCAAAAGCTGTGCGTGCTCGATCGTGTCATGTAGACTTGTAGGAATGTTCTGGCAAATGTAAGAACTCGTATCAGAACGTAGATTTTGTTGGTAAAACCAACGCATAACCACTTCGAGCATTTCTACCGTTGACTGGGAGAGTAACAGCATGAACTTGAACGT